TAGAGAGAGAGAGAGAGAGAGAGAGAGAGAGAGAGAGAACATAGACTGTAGGCTATGTTAACCTACTTATGTAGTAAATATCTGTGGCATGCATTACTTTCTCATATATTATTCCTTGTAATAACTTCATTTCTGTCTTACTCACTGAAACATATATACTAGACAAAGTTGGAAATTTATTTCTGAGTCACCATTGTATCATTATTATTCATCATCTTGCTTGATAGTGTCTGTCTGATTGTAGTTTAACTATCTAAATGACTGACCAAATTCAGCAGAAAAATAAGTAAGGCAAATGCATTCTGGCCACATCTGTGATCCATGTGTGCCATGTAAATGTGGTTTCCCCTTTGCCCCTGATAATCTGGGACTTCTTTTTTCTAGTAGAGTTGTCTTATTCCCATGTGATTACATGTTTTGACTTTTATTTATGCAACATGCAAGTTCACCCATAACTCTACATCTTTGAAGGTTCTTCTGAAAAAAATATTTACATAGCTAGTTACTTTCCATTAACATTTTCTCAAATCTACATGTGCAGGAACTTCTTCAACTACAAATCTAAAGTAACTTTCTTGGTTGCCTTCTATCATGCAATGCTGTTGTGACAGGTTCATGACATCATTATTATAAAGAAATTAGTCTTTGATAACAGAAAAACAGACAATTTTATTGACCTTCTCCAATAAAAGGTTTCAGTGACCTAAATAAGAAGTCATAATACAGAGCACTTTATCAGAATCTGTAAGTTGATAAGTCTGTCTTGCTTGACTTGAGCTTCATATAATCTCAACCAGAGTTTTGTGTAAATTAAAGCAGTAGGCAGGTATGTGGGCAGATTTATGCATATGTACACATATTTAATTTATGCCTTTTTATAGTTGTGTATCTCTTTACTAGTCTCATAATATGATATTTAAGTTAATTCAATAAAAGGAAAAAATCAAAAACAAAAACATTGATCAGTATAGACCTTTTCTGGAGTGTGGTCAACTTACCAAGACCAATACTCATGAAGAAGATTGACTGTTTCTCTCTTAGCTGCTATTAGTGATCTATAACTCCTCAGCTATTAGTAGGACTTCATGCCCACCTTCCTTCTCCATCCTAAATTTAATCTTGCATGGGTCTTGTACATACTCATAACTAATATGTGGTGGTTTGAAAGAAAATGATCCCCAAAAGGGAGTGGCATTCATAGGAGGTGGGGCATTGTTGAAATAGGTGGGTCCTTGTAGGAGAAGTATGTTACCTTGGAGGTGAGCTTTGAGGTCTCATCTATACTCAAGCCACACCCAGTATCTCAGATCACTTCTTGTTGTCTGTAAGATGTCAGACTCTTAGCTACTTCTCTAGCACATGTCTGCCCATTTGCCACCTGACATTTCTCACCACGATGATAATGGACTGAATTTCTGAACTGTGAGTGAGTTCCCTCCCCACTGAAATGTTTTCCTTTATGAGAGTTGCCATGGTTATGGTGTCTCTTCACCTAACTAAGACACAGTGAATTCATATGTGCATCCCTGCTGTTTCTGGAAGACAATGCTACTTGTAGTCATCCACTGCTACCGACCCCTAAGTTCTTTCTGTCTTCTTTTATACAATTTTCTTTGAGTCTTGGGAGGAGGGGGTGAATTAGTATCTCATTAAGGAATGGGCACTTCATAATCTCTTATTCTGTACTTTGTCTAGTTGTGAGTCTCTGCATTAATCACCATCTACTGCATATAGAAACTTCTCTGATGAGGGCTGAAAGATACATTTTTCATGGGTATAAGGATAATTCATCAGGAGTCAGTTTAATATTATATACATTTGACATAATAATAGTAGACTCTGAATATGATCGAAACAGGTTATATTAATATCTCAAATCAATCATAATAAAAAAGAACAATGAAGGAAATTGAAAAAGAATGCCAAGAATATATTCTGAAACATACAATATTTATACATTTTATTATGGTTTTGGAATTACTCAAGAAAATATTAAATAATTTTGTTATATTGTTGTTTCATACTATTTATACATTTATATTATATATATAGATACATCACAAATACACTTATATATGCACTGTAGTTAACACTTGAAGTTAGCTATATGGTAGAAAGTTGAACTTTAATATACACATGTGTATATACATGCATATATACATGAACCAGGTTTTTTTCTCAATTATATGAGACATTTATCTTGCTGATAGTCATCCTTCTTATAATTGAACATTTAAGAATATTAGTTTCAGTTTGACATATTGGAAATCCATATTGTAGACATAAAGAGATTTGCTTGTAAAAAAAAAGTGAAGGATAGAGAATTTGCTTGTAGAAAAAAGTAAAAGTATCTTCTTATGATTAAAAACAAGTAGAGAATATCTCATTTTGTGTTTATCAGAGGATAGTCCCACCTCTAAAATTGGAATATGAAACTATCACCTACGCGTGTAAGCAGATGTAGAGGAACTGGAAAAAGACTAAGGTACTTTCAGTATGGGGAGGGGAAAGAAGCTTAATTTTCATATACTAAAAATTTTAACATTTTGAAACATAATGTATATAAAACTTTGCCCATAGATATCTTATGCAGATATATTTAATTATGTAAAAGATATATAAGTAGCATTACGATGAGATCCACGCTATATTTTTATTTCAAAAGGAAATTACATCAGTGTTTTATGCAGATGAACATGTAGGAGAAATAATGCATTAAACAAGAACCCACAAGCAAACACAAGTGATGTTGGTATGTGGGAAGACAGAGTGGGAGGTAGCCAGCCGATGCCTTTGCGCTCACTGTGGGAGGAGATGAACATTTTCTAGTAGCTTCAGCCTGCAAACGAGAGCGTCATCAACTGCAAAATATGACGTAACATTCATTGCAGTAAAGAAAGCACGACCCATAAGCTGGTACCAGCTCATCAAATTCTTGATGGCTAACTGTTTCCCAGCATTTCCTCAGACTTCTGTTATGAAAAGCACTCACTTTTCATGTAAGTAATCATGATATAACCCCGTGGGAGTTAATAGAAGTAAGCAAAGAGCTGTAGGAATTTGTTACCTGCTGAGTGATGCTTTGTTGCTATGGTACTGTGATC